AAGCACACTTGTTGAACTCCAGGATGCTGATTCCACCGTCACTGTATACCTTGGTCAAGGAGTCCTATAGGGCATAAATATGAGAGATCATACAGGGTGAGTTTATATTGAACTTTTATTATTATATTGCTACTTCCCATTTTTCAGTAACTGTTGTTTATGAAATTCTGTACAGTGTCAAATTCATCACCATATGCTGGCATTCACTATTGAACTTACAGACACTGGAGAACGTACTAATTCCTTTGTTGCATCCTTGTGCTCAAACCAACTACTTTACATCACATGAATGAGTGTTCGTACACCTACACTACAGATTGCTCGTTTACCTATGCAAACTTAGCACTTTACATGTAATTTTTATTTTTCGATTTTTCCCATTTTTATATAATTACGTGGTTTGCAAAGACATTGGGAGTTCAAAGCTCTACACCTATAGTTCCCTAAAATAAACGGAACAGAACTGGACAAAAGGATTTCAAGATATCAGTAATGCAGACTTTTCTTCTAAATAAATTTATTGACGTAAAACAGTCGTGCGACTTTGGATCGCTTATTAACATTTAGGGGAATTTTGGACATTTCGAAGGCATTCAAAGTTATTAAGCATAACTGAGTGCAACGTCGGAGGAAAAAGTTTTAGAGAAAAATACTGCAATGCGTACTGGAGTTTTCGCTACTAGAATTCATATAAACTCATAAGTCAGGCTTTAAATGTTGTAATAGATACAAAAGGTGTATAATGCTCCAAGTTGCCACGCATCAGTCTCTCAGGTACATTTCACTTCAGGTAATAAATACTCTTCCTCATATTACCTAAAATATTATCTAGTAGTGATTGCTCATCACTCTATAATGATCCTCCTATCTAATATGCCTCCAGTTCGGTAAATCCGAATTGAAAATTTTACGGAAAATGTCCTTCATAACGTTTTCTTGACTTCTTTACGCATATTCAGAAAACGGGTAGATAACAAGTTACGTATAAAGTTGGTGACTTCAGAGTTATAGTAAATGGTAAATAAGCAAAACAGCACTACCGAATGCATTACGATCGTGGGGCGGAGGTTATGCTAACAAGTTTTGCGGTTAATTAATGCGAAAGCAAAAGGGTTCATCTGCTGAATCAAAATTAGTTCACAGCCAACTGTTACTTTGCCGTCTTCAGTTAATCCGTATCGTGTAAAACCCCACTTCTGAAATCCTTAGCCGGAGAAATACCTGCTGAATAGGTTCACCATCCAGGAACCAAGCAATCTCAGGTACAGGATGGCCGCTCATCTTCACCAAGAACCGTGCCGGGGATCCAACAATAACCTCCATAGTCTGTGGGGGCACATCGATGGTGGGTGGGGCGTCCTGCGGCACCTCCTCTGCGTATCGCATGCCTGTATCCGAGCTGAAGCGAAAATGTTACAAAAGACAAATTGATATAAATAGTTTATTAGAAGGCAATGCAGACCTCGTGACGTACAGACAAAGCTTTAGTGTTTTATCACATTTACACTTCTACTAAAAACAAATAAGTAGGACGTTTTTATAACAAAACGACAACCCTCCTTACAGCAATGGCATCACAAAAGAGCATTCAGTGCGGTTAAAACCTGCTTCCTACCCAATTTACTCAATCTGTCTCTTCGTTGACAGGTATTAATGAGCCAATGAATAAAATAACGAAGAGACAAAAACTTACTTTTCTCTGGCAGCAGCCTCGATGGCCTGGATGAGCTTGAAACCCTCAGAACCCTCAAGGAGGTTGCTCTGCGTTATGATGGCTGCACTTGGGGTACAGTTCAGCTGCAGGTGATCGCTTTCAATGCTACCCGAAGCGTTGGTGATTTGGCACCAGTAGGATCCACTGTCCTCGGGAATGGTGTGTACTAGGCACAGAGTGGCAATGCCACGTTCATGCTCCACTCGGAATCGGGTGCCATTGCACAGCGACTGGCCATCCTTGTACCTTAATTGAGGCAAAAAACATACCGGAAACAAAAATGAGCTCTCCCAAGTCAGTAGTTGCATTAAGTGGATACTGAATAAATTCCCAACAAGAGACTACTGTGACAGGTCCATCAAGTAGAGAGCAGATAGCATATGGATTGAATTTGAGGGCTCACCATTCGACGGTGACGTTGGGATCGGTGGCGGGCTCGAATTGCAATTGGAAGCTCACACTCTCATCCTCCGTGACCGTGTCGACAGGTTTTGGTTGGCGCAGGATGCTGGGTGCTGCTGCCGGCCCGTCTTCGACGTCGGGTCCTCGACGTGGTGCATTTAGGAGGTCTTCCAACTCGCGCAGAGCTTGTAGTCCTACAGGAGAGAATCGGTAACGTTGGCATGATGTGCCACTTCTATGTGGTTCGTGCAGATAAACTTCCAAGCTTTGTGGATATAAAGTGTTGTGATGTTGGCCAAAGCCGAGATGTCACCGCCTAATTACGCCTTAATTATTAGGAGGTTTGGCAGCTTTGTTTAATTTGAGTTGATCCAATAGTGAAAAAACTCGGGACGTTCGGCGGGATTTGAACCCGGGTAGTAGAGAAGGCCTTTACCGGAAGCCAAAGATCTTACCACTGAGCTACAAACGCCCCACCTCGTGCCATGAATTTAATCACACTTAGGTCGATATTACTCGCCCAACTTTACCACTCGTATGGGATCCACCAATAGGGAACAGCAAACTGACTGCCAAAGCAGGATTTCCTAAACAAGCCTCACGAGCTCGGACCAACCGATTGTGTTTTCGTAAGGCTACTGACTGAAATGTTAATGATTAAGTTTAAGCAAAATATATATACATATACATACGTTGGGTATGGCAGTTTACAATAATTATGTGTAGGTTCACGCCTACCTCGCTGGGCCCTGTCGCCAGTCAGCTGACTGTCGTTGATGATGGTGCCAGTCTTTTCGACGGAGAGGGTGGCCGTATCGCTCTCTGCGGTACCGTGTTCGCTGGTTATGTAACACACGTAGTTTCCTGTGTCCGAGGGTTGGGTGTAGTTGAAGCGCAGGCTAGCCACGCCCAGTTCCAGCTTTACGGTGATTCGGGAACCTAAAGTTGAGTTAACAAAAATATTAACTTTTTTTCAGAAAGCGAAGACTTGGAGGCATTTGAGTTGAAGACAATCGACGTCTGTGCAATGACTACACAATGCTCAGTCTACAAGCAATCAGTAATGCAGTTAATATACATTTCTTATGGCAAAGACGTTCTACCGTACACTTACCTCCAAGTGACGCACTTGATAATTTCCAAAATTATTTCCCTGATCATGATCTGGAGGTCATATACCACACACCGTATTGTGAGCGCTAGACGTCCACTGTGGAGCCTAAGCCCTCGTTGTTGTATCATGCAACAGCAGACATATCGGTGAAACACCTGTCTGGGCTTTTAGCTACTACCTATGTCGGGGGCATGGCATAATAGCTCTGCCATATATATACATGAAATGGTTCCGACAAAGCAACGCGAGACCGGAATGGCCATTTTTGGCTTTTTAGCTGTCATCAGCCAGTCATATCCAATCTCAAGGGTTGAAGCCCTCGAGATTTGAACCCGTGATCATCGCTCATTGAGTTGACCACTCTATCATCGCAACAGGGACTCGTTGCTTTGTCGGTTGCGATAGGGAATATGATGAATATATGGGCATCGCTGATACCCATATATATTCATATATATAGGCCGCATTCCAAGATTGCGAAGCACAACATATTGGCGGAATGTATACAAGAAACTGATAATAATCTACGCGTTACATTTCAAGTTTCCGTATTCCTTCATACTCAACTGCAGACAGGAATTGTTTAAACATCCTTTGCTCACAACGTGGCATAGGAAGGTGACGGTATTTCGCGGAGAGACGCGAATTCAAAACTCGAGTGTGGCAGCAATTTCAGCGGCCACACTGGCCTTGGGTCTCACTAGCCAATGACGGCAAATGAGCCAAAAAGGGTCTTCCTAGTGTCCCACGTCTTTGCCGGCAATGTCCTTCTGCCTATATTCTAGCCACCTCGCGGTGGAAGCTCGAGTGAGAGCTCTAATGGCAGCATGGACGGACGAGTGGGCCCTCTGACATATCGGCGTACGCATATCTGCTACTATAAGTCTGTAAGCTCGTGGCTCAATGGGTAGGGCGATCGCCTCTGACCGCAGCAGCAATTACAGCGGCCTCACTGGAGTTGGGTATCACTAGCCGACGACGGCAAATGAGCCAGAAAAGGCCTTCCTAGTGTACCATGTCTTTGCTGGTAATGTCCTTCTGCATATTTTTATATGCCTGTTTACGGGCCTTAATTCTAGTGTGGTCAAGTACACTACAGCTGCACACGATTATTACTTAATTTTATGGTACCGAACGTACAAGATTTGGAAAATGGACGTTTTTAAACGGAATCCGCTCTTCTTTTCCCCGAAAACAATGTCAAACTAAATTTCCCTTTCTCCGAAAATATATAGTTGACAGTGTTCTGGCTTATCTTAATGTTCGTTTACACTGCAACACGCACAAACTGGAGATTTTGATACGTAACCTTTAATTACGCAGAAAATTACTCCCATGTCAAGAACCCTTGTTTGTTGCCCAATTCTGGCCTGACTTTCCTTCAGCAAACTAATCTGAGGTATACAGCCTTTATGCGCCTCAAGTCAATTCAATGAGCAAAACAAAAACTCCTCCAATATGTGTTAAACCATCTCCTCAAATGTCTATCTTCACATTTCATGAGTAAGACAATCTACTGTCTATGCATAACACTTCACTGCCTACCTGTATGAACCAGCTCGCCATCCTTTTTCCACTCAACAGTGACCTTGCTGCCATTCCCGGTGTCTACGGGTACCTCGAAGTAAGCGTCAAACGTCTCCGGGGTGGTCACACTTGGTGGAATTATCGGTCCTTTGAATGATGGCGGAATTGGGTCTGCTGTTCTCTCAGCGATGCTGTAATAGAAAAAAGGCTATCTTTCACCTTGATGGCAGAAATCACTGACTGCATATGCAGGATCAGGTGTGAGATGAGGAGGATCGAGACAACGAGCAGGAGGACGCGGATGAGAGGGAGAAGTATGAGGGGAAAGGAGGAGGAGGGAAGAGGAGGAGAAAAGCCACGTCTGCAGGTGGACTAACGCACACGGAAACCTCCCCCCCCAACAGATAAGAGTACAATGGGGCGGGGGA